GGAAGATCAGAGTTACATTGTGAATTTCAGGGGCCCTAGGCACTTTCGCCTTCACGGGGCTCTTGCTCCATTCAAAAAAAAATTAATGTTATGACTATGTTGGTATAAAGATGAATGTAATCCAGGTTGATTGTATTTTCTTTATTTACTCTGGTTTTAAAAGAAGCTAAAACATTTCTATGGGCCCTGGGCACTGCACCTACTGTGCCTACTGGGTAACTCAGCCCTGCAGAAGAGTGGGTTGGGGCCCAATTGAGAGAGGCTTTGGTAGGTCTGGTAAGCCACAGGGAGTCATGGAGCCTAACCCTAGCCTTATTCTTGGTTGCATTAAACATCCAAATGTGGATCCCAGTATCCCTCATACTGTCTATGGTATCACCCAACAGCTCCCCAGGCCAGTCATATGATGTAGCCCAACCAAGGTGCCCAGCTGTGTCAAGAAGGCTCCACCTGCCCCCAAATAGCATAGCACTTCCCAGGCGCAGTCAGCCAAGAGTTACTCCCAGGGAGTGGGAGATGCAGCAGGAGGGAGACACAGGCTGTGCCCAGAGAGTAGGTCTGGGTTCAGGGATGAGGGGAGGACTAGGGAAGGGAGGTGGTGGAGAAGAGGGAGAAGTGTTGGGAAGGCTCAAGAAACTAGCTTCAGCCAGGCACCAATGGCTCACAACTGTAATCCCAGCACTTTGAGAAGCTGAGGCGGGCAGATCACTTGAGGTCAGGAGTTCAAGACCAGCCTGGCCAACATGGCGAAACCTAGCCTCCACTAAAAATACAAAAGTTAGCCAAACGTGGTGGCATGCACCTGTAATCCCAGCTACTTGGGAGGCTGAGGCACAAGAATCACTTGAGCCAGGGAGGCAGAGGTTGCAGTGAGCCGAGATTGCATTCTAGCCTGGGTGACCGAGTGAGACTCTGTCTCAAACAAACAAGAAACTAGCTTCTTCATGGCATTTTCCTTAGTCAAGCCTGGCCTGGCCGTAACAACACCCGTATTCTTCCTTAAAACCCACCCCTCTGACCATTTTCAGCTAACCTAAGGCCCCTACCTGTTAAAACCCTGCTGCTAGCCCTGTGTTACTATCTCCTGGCTCTAGGAGTCTCTCACTCTAGCATTAAAGAGCTAGGCCTCTCTGGGGATCCGCTTCCCACATGAGGAGTATTGGGGCCATTGCCACAAATAGCTAGATGTCCCAGAATTTATTCTTATTTTTAATTACCAAAGTAATACTATGCCAGCCTAGCCAACATAGCAAAACCCCATCTTTACTAAAAATACAAAAATTAGCTGGGCGTGGTGGTGGGCACCTATAATTCCAACTACTCACGAGGTTGAGGCAGGAGAATCGCTTGAACCAGGGAGGTGGAGGTTGCAGTGAGCTGAGATTGCGCCATTGCACTTCAGCCTGCGCAACAGAGAAAGACTGTATTTAAAAAAAAAAAAAAGTAATACTGTGGAGTAAAGTCAAGTGATCTAGAAAAGTCAGGTTTAAAAAGGTGAAATTTGCTACTTGGGAGGCTCAGGTGGGAGGATCACTGGAGCCCAGAAGGTCAGGGCTGCAGTAAGTTGTGATTGTGCCATTGCACACCAGCCTGGGCGACAGAGACTCTGTCTCAAAAAAATGATAAAGCTGCATAGTATTCCATAGCAGGGTTAAACCTTTTTTTCAGTCTTTATTCAGTCTTCCTCTACTGATAAATACTTAGTTTTTTTCCAATTTTGCAACAAGCTTTGTGACAAACTATACTATAACCCACAACCTTGAACATTTATTTTTGTGCCTGTTTCGTTTTGAGACTGGGTCTTGTTCTGTCACCCAGGCTGGAGTGCAGTGACACAATCATGGCTCACTGCAGCCTCGATCTCCCATGCTCAAGGGATCCTCCCACCTCAGCCTCCCAAGTAATGGGACTACAGGCATGTGCCACCATGTTTTTTTCATGTTTTGTAGAGACAAGTTCTCATTATGTTGCCCAGACTGGTATCAAACTTCTGGCCTCAAGCAGTCCTCCCGCCTTGGCTTCCCAAAGTGCTAAGATTACAAACATGAGCCACCATGCCTGACCAGAGTTTATCTCAAAAGAATTCATTCCTAGAATCAGCATGCAACGTCAGAAGAAATGCAATGCCTCAAAATTTAAGTCATTGTCTGGCCAGGCGGATGGCTCACGCCTGTAATCCCAGTACTTTGGGAGGCTGAGGTGGGTGAATCACTCGAGCTCAGGAGTTTGAGACTAGCCTGGGCAACATGGTGAAACCTCGTCTCTACAAAAAATACAAATATTAGCCGGGCATGGTGGCTGGCACCTGTAGTCCCAGCTACTTGAGGGGCTGAGATGGGAGGATCGCTTGAGCCCAGAAGGCAGAGGTTGCAGTGAGTTGAGATCATGCCACTGTACTCTAGCATGGGCAACAGAATGAGACCCTGTCTTAAAAAAAAGAAAAAATTTAAGCCATTGTCTAGGCCTAACCCTAAGAGTAATAATTTTTTTTTTCTTTTTTTTTTTTTTTTTTGAGGTGGAGTCTTGTTCTGTCACCCAGGCTGGAGTGCAGTAGCACAATCTTGGCTCACTCCAACCTCCACCTTCAGGGTTCAAGCAATTCTCCCTGCCTCAGCTTCTTCCCAAGGAGCTGGGATTACAGCTCCCAAGTACAGGGATTACACCACCACGCCCGGCTAATTTTTGTATTTTTAGTAGAGACGGGATTTCGCCATGTTGGCCAGGCTGGTCTGGAACTCCTGACCTCAGGTGATCCGGTCCTGCTGTGATGTCAAGAGGTAACCTTCAGGAGGCCCTCAAGCCTCCTCTTGGACTCCTCATCCTGGGGCTAGAGGCCAGAGGAAGCAGGGAAGTGGGGGGAGAATGACAAAAGAAGCCTTGGGTTCCCTAGCACAGCTCACCCCTCTTCCCTGAGGTTCACTTTGTGCCAGACGCTGAAGGGCAGGCTGGAGAGCAAGCTCTTCAGGTTATCTGAGCAACAAAGTGCAACCACCCTGAACAGCTCAAGACCCTGAAAAGGTGACTGTGCAGATTCCTTCAACCCAGGCCTCTCCCACCCCTGCAGCCATGAAACTTGGATTCTGGAGTGTTCAGGCAACAAAAGCCCTGGGTGGGCAGGTGATGGTCCTGCTTCTGTCTAGCTTTCTGGCTTCTCCCTGCCTAATTCTAAACCCTGTGCGTTGCTACCATGACTGCTGCACCCAGCTACCAGTCCTCTGCTCTGGAGCCTGCAGTGGCTCTGATCATTTTGTGGCCAACCCAAGGGTCCTCTGCCCACCTCAAGGCACATTGCAACTCCTTTCTCTCTCTTTTTATTTATTTATTTTTTTTTTAATTTTTTTTTTTTT